GGCGGGCTGCCCACCTTGGCACCTGGGAAGACCCAAGAGATGACCAGACCAGCCAGTGCCGGCCGCGCCGCTCTCACCAGTGCAGCAGCAGCAGCGTGCTGAGTTTCATAACCCGACCAGTGATGTTTAGAAATCAGTGAGGACACCCAGTTCCTCCACACCCACGTAGACATGATCAGCAAGTAAAAGGGGAACGGAGATGTTTAAAAATCCTAGTTTCCTGAGGAGCAAGAGCGCAGACTGGCACAGGCACCCGGGGATCTGCAGCGTGGGCAGCGGGGCGGGGCGACTGTTGGGCTGTGCTTCGCCTCAGCACAAGGTACACATTGCCTGGAGAGCTTCACCCTCATAAAATCCACACCAGTATGATCCCTTTCACTCCAGTTCTGTCCCCTGTCACAGCTCTCAGCCACGAGTTTGCACTTTCATCCATCCACTTCCATCAGCTAAAATGATTTTGCTGCTCCCATTCCGCTATGACCAAGATTTGGTATTAGGAAGTTGGGGGTCAAGAAGAAAACTAATTAATTTTCTCATTTAAAAAAATTCACATTAAAAGAGCTTCAGGTTCACTGCAAACAAAGCAGCAAGAGGTCAAAGCATTAAGTGAGCTCTGAAGACATCGTGTCACTCTGTAGTGCTATTCCTACCCCAGAACAGCCACATCACATCTCAGTTCCCTCCTGTTGCTACAATTCATCACTGCTAAAAGGTAGGTGGTGGTCCTCCTCCTCCTCCAGAAGCTGTTTTCCTATCCTTCAGAGAAATAAAGTTCCACTTGGCACTTCAAGTTACCAAAAAGTAACAAAATTCATGATTTTCAGGTGGATTTGAAGCGGTGCTGGAGGCAGGAACAGGTCTGCATGTCTCCTTGAGGCAGTGGAGAAAGCAGGCGTGGCGGCACCTCCAGCTGTGCTCCCTCACGATCTGTTTCAGAGATGGCTTTCCTCCTCCTTTGATCTGTGATCTCTGGAGTCAGAGGAACAGCTAGAGAGTGGCTAAAATCCGTAGAAACGAAACCACCACCACGCAGAAGGTCTGACCCACCCCTAAAATCAGGGCTTCAAAGGGAATCATCTTTTTCCCCGCAGCTCTGTAGACTCCAGCGATGGCAGCACCTGTGGAGAGGGGGGAAGGTGACACACCAACGCGTGACGCACGCTGTTGTGGGACAGGGACGAAGGGGGAAGGCTCAGAGGGTGTGAGGCTGGGGCAGAGAACTGGGGGGTCTGAGGGAGGGGGCCCTGAACCCCTGCACATTGGCTGGCAGGAACGGCAGACAGGGTGACGTGGGACAAACCTCAGCCGGTGACCGACGCGCGCTGGTGGCAATGGGTGAGCTGGTGGGAAAAGCTGCTGAGGCCACGGGGTGTGGAGGGGGGGGCGGTTTGGGACGTACTCTTGTCATGGGATCCTCTGCACCACAGCCCACAAGCTGCAAATGTGGCACAGACACCAAACCTGTAAGTGCTTTTTGGGGCCAGGCTCTTTTCAGCAGTGCCCAGTGACAGGAAAAGGGGCAATGGGCACAAACTGGGACACCCAAAGTTCCAGACAAACCTCCGGAAACACTT